GCTTGATTACCTTCAATCCTGAGCTACCGGTTTTGTGGTATTTCCCATCTGTAAAAAGCGATGGTATTCAGGTTGCCCCGCTAATCTGCATTCCCTATGGCGACACCGGTGTATCAAAACCCAACCCAACCCACAGTCACTGCCATCAAGTGCATTCTCACTTGTAAAGACCCTCTAGGACCTCTTAGACCTGCTCTTGTGGGTTTCAGACTCTTTAGGGAGTCGGAAGCCTCGTCTTTCTACCCAGGAGCTGCTGGTGGTTTTGAACTGCTGACCATGGTAGCAGCCCAAACAGGAACTCACTCTGCCACCAGTGCTCCCAGCATTGCAATTTTCATTATGGTGCCCGTATACTGCAGCATATGGAATGCCAAGACCCTCAACTTCATCTGTAAGCTTTCTAGAGTCATTTGGATGATTTTAAGAAAATCTTACCAAATCTTTTCAATCCCGTTGGGATTCTAATGGAAATGTTACACTTCATTTTAGTATTGTCAATTCCTTAATGCCAACCACCAAAGGTTATATGTCCTTCCATCAGTCCAGGTAGTTTTGAATCCTTCAGTAAGACTATGCTATAGTTTTTGCTTTAATTTTTACACGGCTCATTTTTATTTTCCGCCCCCAAAGAAAATCTAATCGGTCCTCAGGACAGACTAGTGGACTCCGACTCAAAGTCCTCCCCATCGGGTTTGCAAAACTGTCAGCGTCAGGGAAGCCGACTGCTACATCTTTTTGTCGGCAGAGCAGCAGGTGGGGCTGGAACTACGGAGCTCGACGGCGGCAGCCAAGCGCTTAATCCCTGCGCCACCAGGGAGCCTTCAAAGAAGAAAACAGGAAGCCCCTTTTTTACCTGCAGCGTCAACGGAACCGGTTAACCGGCGCGCGCAGGCCCCTCCCCCGCTTCCGCCCCGTGGTTCCGGGTTGTCATGGGAACCAAAGATGACGTCACTCTGGGCTTCCGCGTTGGCTCCAGGGGGCCCACGCGGGCACGGGGGGGGGAACGGCGGTACCAGACCCACGCATGCGCACTGCTGCCCATTGGGGCCGGGATTCTGCGCCCGCGACCTCCGGCTTCAGCCTTTTCGAAACTGCTCCCTGGGGGCGGGGAGTAGGAGAGGAATTCAGCGAGCCCCAGCCAATCCCAAGACAGAGCGAGGCCACCGAGGTGGACGAACTGAATCCAATTCAACCAATGAGGAGGCGCCTCCCTCCCACGTCACAGGCCTTGCCCCGCCCCCGCTCGCAGGCCTGCGAGCGCAGTTCGCGCAGTCACAAATGAAGTGCGCGCTGCGCCACCTCCCCGCTCCACAGGCTCGGTCGCCATTTCCTCGCTCGGCCTAACGGTTCGGCCAATCCCAGCGCAGAGAGCGCCGGGCCGCGAGCCGGCCAATCGGAGTCCGCCGAGCCCGCCCTCGAGCCCCGGCCCGGCCCAATCGCGGGGCCGGCCCCGCCGCCCCGGCCCGCCCCCGC